CCTGGGTTCACTACACCATGAAGCCAGAGCGCCTGGTGGCCCTTCCTCGTAGAAGTGTAATTACAAATTCTATCTCATGAGTTGTTATGGGACTTGTCAAGTTTTCTGTTTCTTCCTGGTACCTTTTGTCTTTCAAAAAGCACATCCAATGTGGGCATGCAGCTATCAGCATGTCTCCTTACAGTCTGTACCAGGACCCACAAGAGTTCCCTGACTGCCCACCCTGCTCCTCCCAACCAGAATTGGGCAGGACAGGAAAGACCCGTCTGGTCATCATGAAGGACTAATTCCCTTTATAGGTTTTCTCAACACACACTGCCGTCCAAGAACAGGAATGTCTTCAACTCCACTTTCTTTGACTTTCAGAATAAATTAAGTATAACGATGGACAAACTCACCCAAGGATGCTTTTGAACAGGACCTGCCCCCATTCCCTGTTACTCTTCTGCCCCGAGACAGGCAGCCGTATAGCTTCCAGATGCCCCTAGGAGCATGCCCCTCATGTGCCAGCCCCGATTCCACAGAGATGCAGTGCATGCCACACTCAGCCTGTCATGGTAGCACTGGCACCCTTGCCATCGAGCATCTTAGGGTGTCCCTGGCCCACCTCTGTTCTGGGTCATTCCTATCCTGTAGGTATGCGGTTCTCTCCTAAGCAGCAGTTCCATTAAAAGAAGAAAGCAGTGCCCTTCAAAGTGGCCTGTCGAGGGCGTTTCCACTGTGCTATTTTCCTGAACCCAGCCCCTTCTTTAGGTTCCATGTCAACAAGCTTGTCACCTGCCCCCATGAGGACTTAGTCCCTCCTTCCTGCCCGGAAGCTGGCCCAGCCCGTCAGGTGACTAGTTCAGCCTTCTCTGATGGGCTGCCCTGCCTTCAAACCTCAATTTCCCCATCTGCAATAAAGACCCTTCAAACAGGGTGGCATGCCACGCGAGTGGCTCTGGCAGTGCTGCCAATCTGAAGCACCACATGGGGGAGTAGCTACTGACTTTGAGCAAACAATAGAGGAGATAGGAGGACCCCAAGATATCCCCTCAGAAGAATATTTATCCAAGGACCCATCCATTCCTTGGGCATCTGAGCCTCAACAGGTGCCACCTCAGAGGAAGCCATGTGGCAAGCTTGGCCCCAGGGCCATGGGCACAGGGGCCACAGGTTGCAGCTTTGCTTCCACTAGGATGAACTGTCCCACCCCAGGGTCCCAGGACCAGCATGTCAGGGATGATGGCCACACACCTGCAAAGCAAAACACCCTGGTGGCTGTCAGGGCTGGATCTAAGACTCAGTGCCCAGCAAAAGGGCACTCCTCTTTTCTCCCAGCATTTCCTGTGGGTATGGCAATGACTGGAATAAGGGCCAAAAGCCCTGGCGGTGGCCCAGAAGGGCTGTGGGACTGAGCAAGGCATCCCTGGACAACTTCACCTCCTCCTGTCGTGCTGAAATCCTCAGAGGATTGTTGGGGTGACATCTAGAAAGGCTGAGCAAGGACAAGAGCAACCAGTCCAGGGCTCTGAGGGGGACCCAGGCTGCACAGTCAGCAGAGCTGCATTTGTTCAGTGAGAATGGCAGCTGGGGCAGCCCGAGGCAGGTGAGCCTGGGGCTGCTGCCCATTGCAAGAGTCCCAGCTGACCACTAAGGACCAGAGCATGCACCTGATTCATGGTGGAGCTGGGAAGACCCGTGAGGGGGGCTCTGTCAAGGACATGGACATGGCAAACGCTGGAAGATGGCCAACACCGCAGCAGCTTTGGGGTGAAAAATGGTTGGGAGGAGCCTTGGATCAACTAGAAAATCAAAAGGGAGGCCAAGAACAGGACTAGCATGTGGCTCTGACAGCACATCAGAGGTGGCCAAAGGCTGGGTGGGGACAAGAGACAGCAATGGGCAGGAAGGGTCTTTTCAAAGGTGATAAAGGTGTTTCTATATTCTGGTGATGGCTGCAAATCCTATGAATTTGTTAAAAATAACTAAATTGTGTTTTTAAAAAATTCAAGGATGCCTATGTCAAAAGTCAAGAGAAATAAAAAGACAATTATTGTTATTATACAAAGTGATACAAAATGCAACTGGCCCCAGCCCATGGTAGCCACTCCCGAGCTTTCTATCCCCATGATGCGCCTCTCCTGGGTTTCCGTGGAATTCTAATACAACACCTGGTTTTGTGTCTAGCTTCTCGCTGAGCACACAGCTCAAGGGTTGTGAATGTCATTCCTTTATGTGTGGATGGACTACACGGTTGACCCACTCCCTGGATGGGGCATGTGGTTGCACACTCCGTTTGGCTGTGGGAAAGGTACTGCTGCGGACATTCATGTGCAAGACCTTGGGTGGGAGGAGGGCCTTCCTGGAACCGCATGTGAAGATGGGACAGGTCAGGAACCAGTCTGTTCTTACAGAGTACCTGAAACATGGAAAGGAGCAAAAGAGGGGACGAAGTGTGCCTTGCCGGCTGAGTGTCCACCCAGATGACATAGGGTCGGTGCTCCTCGGGGTGTCAGGGAAGGAAGCCACACCCTCACTTACTGCCCTTCTGCTTATTTCCTGTATGCAGTGTCTTTTTACCCCCTCAAAGGGTGTTCCCAAAGAACAATCTTTGCTTACCTTGATCCTGCACTTAGCTTCGAGGGCTCCTGTGTGGTGGGCCCTAAGAGTAAAGGGCCACAAACACACGGTCCAGGGGCCCTGTCATCCTGAATTCCTAACTCCCAGTCAGAGCAACTGTTCAAGCCAGCGCCCCCACTGCTAACAGCCCCAGGCATGAACACAGGTGCCAGGCCACACCCAGTTTATTCAGCCCAATTACGCACCATGGGCCAGGTGAGGACAGTGCACTGGGCCAGTGGTATTCAGTCTTCCAGGAGCTCAGAGCCCTCCCACAGGCCAAATGTCCCTGAGGAAAAGCCCATCTGCTCTGCCAGGCCTGGGTGAGGCCCCAGGGCCTAAGCTCCTGGAACTGGGAGACAGGATGTCCTTTCTAGGGAAACCCACACTTCACAGAAGTCTGTGGACAACAAACACTGGGGCAAAGCTGGCCGTGCCTCCACAGGGGTGGCCACTACCTGGGGCGGGGCCTGTCCCCACAGGGCTCCTGCCCGGGCCTGTTCATTGGTCCCTGGCAGTGGTGACACCAAGCACTGCCCATGACAGGCCAAAGGATGGGTTCCTGGAGGGGATGACAGCATAGATTTCATCCCTTCAGCCAGGGACAGGGTATGACATCCAGAGGACAAGAAGCAGGCTTCAGGACAGGAGTTTGTTCCCTTCTTTACAGAGGGGAAACCAAGGCCAGGAAGGTGTGGGGGCTGGTTTACCAAAGGGCATTGGCAAGCGGGTGACCAGGCCAGACCCCAGGGCTCCCCACCCCACTTCCATGCCCTGCTCAGCCCACTGTGGGGAAGCCCAGGCACCAGCAGGGTAAGGAGACCCACGGGAGGAATGACTGGCCCCTGACTCCCAGCACTTGCTGTTTCTAGAGACCCCAGCCACCCTCATTTAGGGATCCTCACAGCAGTCTCACATTCCTGAGAGCCCTTCATGATGGGTGGGGCAGAGGCCCATTCCCCAAGGATCACTTACTCAGGGGCCGGAACACAGGCTGGGAGTCAGGGACCATTCTGCAGGCTGGGGTAGAATGTGGGTTTGTGGAACTATTGAAAGCCACCAAGAAAGCTAGAGCAGTGACCACACAAACAGACGTAGGGTCACATGCGAAACACCAGTCGTCACTCTCAGCTAAAACTGGGTGCTCAGTGGCTCTTGGTGGGTCTGCACCCCACCCCGTGCTTGGGGCCAGGTACCTACCAGAGGCTGACATGCACTGTGACCCATTGGACAAGCTGCCTTCACCTCAGGGCTAACACACGGCAGGTGGGCAGTAGGTGCCAGAGGGCCTGGTGACAGCCCTGAAGGGCAGACAACCTCTGCAGCGACAGCAGGAGAACCACTGCAGAGGTCCTCCTCACAACATTCCAAACACTAGAGCTCCATAGCACCACATCTGCGTGCCTGGAAAAGACCCTTTGGTCCCTGGGGCAGCCAGTACTCATCACCCTCAGGACTGATAGCCAGGGACTACTCTGGCCACGGATCGGCCTGGACCAAGGGTCCAGACAGGTTTCCTGTCAAATTCAGGAGGCTAAGGGAAGTGAGGGGCAGTGCCACAGTGAGCACACCAGGAAAGCTCCGGGCTCTGGGGCAGCACTGCCCTCTTGCAGATCCTGCAGGTTTCCTATGGATGTGGCCAGTGACCCCCAACAAGCTGGGTGCAGCCTAAATAGTCCCTGAGGGTCCCCTAAAATGGAACAACCTTCAAAGAGAGGTAGGAGCTGGGTGCGGTAATCCCATTGGCTTGGAAGGCTGAGCAGGAGGGCTACAAGTTCAGAGTCAGCCTCAGCAATTTAGTGAGGCCCCCAGCAACTTGGTGAGACCTGTCTAAATAAAATACAAAAGGGGCGGGGCTGAGGATGTGGCTCTGCGGTTAAGTGCCCCAGGTTCAATCTCTGATACAAAAACAAAAGAGGGGAGGGACAGGAGCACCAAGGGGGAAGGACAGGAAGACTATGTGTACCTTAAATTCCCAACAGGGCGGCCTGAGGAAAAGCCAGAGGAGGGAGCTGGCTCTCCAAAGCATGCCCAAGCTCTTCACCTCTGTGTGATTAGGCCTCTCTCCCTTCAGATGTGGGGCCTCTGCCCAGGATTCCTCTCTGCCAGCTCCGCAGCTTCCTCAGCAAGGCCAGGCGGAGAGGGCGCTGGGGAACACCCCGTGACGTGCTTTCTGGCGCATGTCCTGGCACAGCCCGCTTCCATGCAGCCCCTGAGTGAAGTTTTGGGTGCCAGTGGCCCCCCAACTCTGCAGTTAGGTCTTGGGTCACCTGGCATCCAGGATGAAGCATCCACTGTCCCAGGTCACCCGGCTGTCAGTAGAGATGGCGGAGACCCCGATCTGGGTGGGGCCGAAGGAAGCTCTGCTGGCTCTGAGCACTTTCTCCATCTGGGTGGGGTTTTAGCTCCTATTTAAAGTTATGAACGTTGCTACTCTTTGGGAGGGAGTGTCCCTGAGGGGCCAGCGTGTCTAGAGGAAGGCCCTGGAAACTCTGAACAGCACAGTGCAACGTCACTTCTCCTGTCTCCACACTGAGCTGCGTCTGACATAGGTTGGTTTGAATTTTTTCTGGGTCACACGGCCAAACCATACGCTGCTTAAAATACAGTGTGTGTGGTTTTGGTGACTCGCAGCCAATTCCTCTTTTCCTAAGAAGCTGTGAGTTTCTGTGCCTGACTGTTCTCAGTGAGCACAGAGCAACTGAAGGGAAAGCAAGACAGAGGGAGTCTCGCTCCTGAGGAGCTCCGATTCACATCCTCGGTTCACGTCCCCGAGGGGCGCCAGGAGCCTCGACCAGGTGAGCACTCTGTTCATTTCTCTGGGAAGCACAATGCCGCCCACCGGCCCCCGCCTCTGACTTACCCGGAAGGTCATCGAGGCTGGCTGGGGGCCGGAGCCAGTTCACAGAGATGGGAAGTTTCTTTCTAAAAACCGAAGTGTCTTTATGCTACAGGTTGATTCCATTAAAAAAAAAAAAGGGAACACGACCATTTTCCTAGCCTTTGGCACTAGGAATGACTGAGCAGGCTGCCCACTTCTTTATTAAGAAAAAGGCAAGAGTGACTCTAGTCGCCTCCTGAAAATGGAGGTGGGGAAAGGTTCACGGAGGGTCAGAAAGGGTTGATGAAGCTGCCAGATAATTACTACTGCTGGGTTTTCACTGGGAAGGGGCTGAACTGACGAAATTCAAAGTTGACAGGAGGCACATCTGGATCAAGTTTTCGTGGCACATGAAATCTGAAAATGGAGCATTCTTTTGGCTGTGGCACGGTGGGGGCAGGAGCCACCCAGAGGCAGGTGGCAGACAGAGCTTGGGAGGGAACCCCTGGGGGAGCCAGGAGGCAGGGTTCGCAGCCCCGCGGCGGGCTTGGTGCCCAGACAGGGGTTCAGTGTGAGGCTCCTGCACACGTGCCTGCCCCCAGGGCTCAGTGCAGGTTCATCTCACTTCATAAGAGCTCCACAAGGGTGCTCTGGTGATACTTCATAATGCATTCCTGGGCTTGTCAACTGGCTGGGACCATGGCCGTGGCATTCAAACCCACTGGTCACCCCTGAGGCAACAAGCAATGGCACTGCTGGCTTTCTGGGACCCCGGCAGCGTCTGCTCTTTGAAAGGTGGCTGATGGGAAGGAGAGCCTCGGGCACTTCCGGGTAGGGTGCTGGGCTGGAGGGTGCTGGGCTGAGTGCACACTCATGCAGCTGCCCCTCCCGGGTCCCTCTGCTGGGGCTTACCTACAGGCTCTGGCTGGCCAGGTGCCTCCAGGTGCTCCCATCCCTGGCTCAGGCAGGCTCCACTGAGGCCTGCTGAGTGAACGGCCGGTCAGAGGAAGCCGGCAGATCTGCGGCGGAAGACCTGAGCAGCAGAGGGCAGGCTGCTGGGAGGGGTCCACAAATGGCCCTGTGAAAGCACTCAGGACACAGGAACTCGCATAAAGGGAGGGCTGCCCAGGCTCTTGTGAACACCCTCATGCCCTGCAATCCAGGCCAGGCTTCTGGGATGCCTTCCCTTGGAGTTCCTGTTAAGGCATGAGGACCTGAGATGCCATGCTGTGCAGCAAGAGAAGGAAAGGGTCAGGGCAGCCGGGTCCTCAGGGCTGGATCAAGGTGCTCCGCTCAGCAGCGGGGCAGGATCCCATAAAGCCAACATGGGCCAGGGTCACAGAGGCCACCGGGAAGCCAACGACAGGCCATAATACCAAACACCTTCTCTCTGGCTAAAAGAGTGGCCCTCCTTCTTCACCAGTTACAGCCCTGCCGCACTCCAGCCTGCCACCACACAGGCTGACTCCTACCCAAACCCCGAGCCCCGCATAGGTTCTAACACTCTAAGCGGGCAGCTTAAGCTGTCTGACCTCAGGGTTCCTGGTGGCCTTGCCACACACATCCACGATGACAGAAATGACATCAGCTCCAGCTTGCAGGGTCTGAGTAAACAGGAGCCCGGGAGCTCACATGCCTGCCCCCGGAGGAGTCGCGGCAAAACAGCATGCGGCACAGATGGGGCCCACAGGTCTTCAAAGGGGCACAAGTGTTGCCTCTAGACCCAATTCTCCACCCTTTCCTGCTTGCTCATCTGTCTAATCTGTACCCCGGATGGTCAGGGTATAGGAATGTTTCTCGTGGAGGAAGGGTGTTTGGAAAAATAGGACTTGAATAAAGCAAAGAGCTCCCTGTAGCTTCATTCTTGAACATCCCCCTGCCGAGGAGGGATGTGTGTTAGGATTTCTTGAAGGAGGGGACTCAGGTGTCCAACAATGTGGTCTGTCCATGGTAATGCTGGGCCACACCCTGCAGGAGCACTGTGTACCCTCAGGTCCTCTGTCCAGGAGACGGATAGATCAGCCAGGGCACTGCTGACAGTCTGGATGTCCATGGCACACAGGACCAGTTCCAAATCTCCTAGAAGCGTGTGAGCACCATGTGTAGGAGTCTGCATGTTGGTGTATGCTGTGTGTTTCGTGTGTGTGCATGTGTCTATGTGTGAGACACAGAAGGCACATGTGTTTTCTTTGGAAGAGTCAAGAAAAGGAAAATGGAAACCTTTTATGCCTATCCTTCAATGAGGTCATTTTCCCCAATACCTAAAATAGAGGCTCAAATAATTCCTGGAACTGCACAGCCACAGGACCATGAGGGTGGAGGAGGCAGGACAGAGGGGAGCCATCCGAGTTTCCTTCACCACTTGTCCAGACCTGGGGGCTGGGGATTAAGAACTGGCAGCCTTCAGCTGACCCCCCACAGGCCCCCAGATATTAGTTCAAGACCCTCTCTGAGACTGCACCTCTATTCAAAGCCAGCCAGAGGCTGGTTGTGCAGGACCTCAGACCATGTATGCAACAGACACAGTGAGTCATCAGGGGTCAGTTCCAGGCTGGAGGACCAGAGACTGGAATGTTTGGACCAGAAGGCGCTAATATAGCCAAGCCCTGTGGAGGGAGGAGGTGCCGCAGGAGGAGGCTCGTGGGGTCCGCAGAGCGCAGGGGCAGAGTTTCACAAGAGGGGCCTCTCTGCAAAGGCAGTTCAAGCTTTTTCTGTGCTCTATCTCGGAACCTGGCTCCTGACCCACCTCCACCATTCCAATAACAGAGACACACTTTCACAGGCCCTCAGTATCCTCAGCTGGTAGGAGGAAAAACAAGAAAACTACAATTCCCAAAAGATTCAAATCTGAGACCAATGGGACCATAGAGACAGATCTCATATGGCCCTGTACCCCGGCCAGGCAACGCCAAGGCCATTTCATTGTGTGCTGCCTGTATACAGGGCCCACGAACCACACAGGAGACTACTGACCTCACTAGCTAATCCTGTTTTTGCACAGAAAAAAAACCTGTGAGCCTTTCCCAGCAATTTGTAAAAGCAAGTACAGGCTGGAATGGATCAGTAAGAGCAAAAGTTCAGAGAGAGCTTAATGTCCACAGAGCAGAAAGGCTTAGTAATTAATTGTCACAGCACAATTACAATTAGCCATTAATAATGACAATATAAACTAGGAAGCATGAAAACACTCAATAAACTGTGTGGAGATGGAACTGGCAGAACTCACAACAGATGTGAACTCTGGCACCTACAACAGATGCCATGGAGAGGCACGAGAAAACACAGTACCTGAGGCAGGCAAGGGACACCCTGATGTCCCCTGGAGGAGCACATGTGTAGAAGGAAAGAGTACCCTGCTTCCCTGCATGGGCCCTTTAGGAAACTCTAGTGCCCATTCTTGGGATGGGGGTGGCCTCACCTCCTACTTTCCAACCCTGGGGTGTACATGCTCACCTCCAGGAACACCCTGACGGCTGTGCAAGGAGCACAGCAGCCAAGCGCTGCTGGGAGCACGGCACACCCACGGACAGGCCTGGGAGTGCAAGTAGCTCCCCAGGGACCCGGGGATGCCAAAGCCCTTCTGTAGGGGTGAGGGAGGGTTCCAGAGCCCCTGATTCTTGGCCTGAGACTTGATGCTGTGGAGTACAGGTCCCCCTTCTAGGGAATTTTGGGGGCTCAATTAAAAACCTGTGCTTTTACTCAAGTTAAAAGTATAGATTCCAGCAGGAATGTGGGGTGGTGTAGCCACCTTGGGAGATGGCGCAGCCACCTCGGAAGACCCTGTAACCTCACACTGACCTGAGGTGGGCCCCAGAAGAAAGCAAGCACATGCTCTCTTAAGAACCTATTTGTGGGGCTGGGGCTCAGGGGTAGAGTGCTCACCTAACACGTGCGAGGCGCTGGTCTGATCCTCAGCACCACATAAAATTAAATAAATAAAATAAAGGTTAAAAAAAAAAAAGAACCTATTTGTGCACTTTTAACGCAGCCTTATGACAGCCACTGGTGACCCAGTCTAATTCTACTGAGGCTGCACAGCCACAGAAAGGAGTGATCACTGGCGCCCAACATCATGGAGGCCCCTCATGTGCATCACACAAGGGAGAGGGCGGGGCCTGAAGGTGCCACACGATGCCATCATGTGTCAGTCTGGAAAGTGGAGGGACTCCAGATGCACCTACCTTCTGTGGAAACTGAGGTCTAAGTGACAGCAGTCATGAAGCGCGTCTCGCATGTGCTGGGAGGGCAGGGGCAGCTGGGCCTGCACTCCTGGAGCCTGAGCTGGCCGGGTGTGCAGACACAGCCCCACTATCTCTTGCTCTCTCCATCTTGCTTGTCCCTTTTAGTGGGGGCGGGAAGGTGAGGGTGGAGCAAGGGGAGCGAGACTGCCGAGGCCAAAGAGCAGCCCAGGACACAATGAAGCCAGGAGGTTGTATGGCAAGGATGGAATTGTGGATGCTTCAGGAAAAATGCCCCCATGTTTCTGTTTTACTGTCTTCACTCAAAAAGGAAAAGTCAAAGAGCAAGGTGGCCTCACTGAGCAGACATGGGAGTCACCACATCTGGCAGGGCGTGCCTCAGGCTGCCCGGGGGAGCTCAGCCCTGCCACCTTGGGGTACATGGTCCAGGGCCACCAGGATCCAAGGGAGTAAGCACCCAGGCAGGATACAGGGAGGAAGGCGTGGTGCTCACAGAACTGGGGACAGAGTTGAAGGCACCTGGTACTCCTCACCAGTCAGGCCTCAGCAGGACTTGACCCAGCAGAGCTTCAGCTATCACTGGGAGGACCCCATGCTACAGAGCTCGGGAAGGAGGATGGAAGTGGGCCCGCCAGGGTCTCCACGGCATGTGCACAAGAAATTCCACCATGTCCTCAAGGAACTCTAAGCAAAAGCACAAGACCCAACACTGGTGGAAACACCACCGGAGCAGGACTTGGCAAACCCAGCTGTCAGCATCAGGCACTACCCCCGGAGGGCTCTCAAGTGGCCTTTCTTTCCTTCTATGTCCCAGCCCTGGAAGTGGGTGCTCTGGTGCCCACTGCACAGCCAAGACAGATTCCCATGCATCAAGGTGACCCTCCACAATATGCTGCAGTGAAGCCAGAACACCAAGGTCCCACATGGGGAAGGCAGGAAGATACCGCCGCAGTGGCTCTCAGCTGCCTGAGGCCCCTCCTAGGGGTCCAGAGCACCCTCCAGGAGGCTCAGGGCCAGTGCAGACACTACCCTTCCCTTGTTCAGCAGGCTGGGAACCGGGGCCTGCACAAATCAGAGCAGAGCTGACTGCCATGAACCAGGATGGCACGTGACAGTGACATCCACAGGCCACAACACCGCCCACATGGCACTGTCCACAAGGCACTGACCAGATGCAGAGGTTGGACGTCTGGACTACAAATCTGTCTCCTGGCCTGCGGTCAGTGTGCGGAAGCCTTCTTGCCATTTCGCCTGTTGAGATGATCATTGCAAATAGCTTCCTCCCAGTCTGGTCGTGAGTCTTAATTTGCACACCACTTGGGTCCTTAAGCACTGGCAGATGGAAAATATCACAATCCACTGCCAGCTTTCCATCTGAAGAGCCACACACACACCCAGGGAATGGGTGACTCACGTGGCCCCTGCAGGCCTGTGGGATGAAAGTTGGCCAATGGAGGTGCCACCAGGGTGCCCAAACACCAAAGCACAACGAAGTCAAGCCCACACTGTGCTGAGGAGCAGGGGTACTCCTGTGGCTAAAATGAACAAGGTAGCTGAGGTGGGAGAGTGTCTGGCAGAAAGAGGCAGGTCCGGCCCAGAAGCTCAGACCTGCAAGGCGCATCAACAGAGCGAGGGGCCTTTCCCTGGGCTCCAGTTCTGGTGATGACGGGCTTCGCTACATACTGAATGTCAGTTCAAAAAGAAAAAAAGACTCTTGTGCACAGCCAGAGTAGATGGCCACACAGGGCCCAGCCAGTCCCTCTGTGCTCCCCAGCACTTGGGAGCCCCCAGGCATCTCACAGAAGCCAAAACAGATATGCTCCAGAGCAAGTCACTCTGATTTGCAAATTATTTCTAAATATAAGTGTTCAAGTATGACACTCAATGCTCCTGTTCAGAGATAATCAGAGATAGAAACTGAAAGATAAGTTTGAAAATACCTATAAGAAAGGGGTAATATAATGGGAACCGTTTTAAAAATGTCACATTTTTTAAAAATCACAAAAGAACCTCTTCTAATAAGAAACACAAAAATTAAAATTTAAAACTAGGAGGATGGTTTTAGTAGCCAATTAGCCATAGATAGAGAGAAATACCATGGCCTGAAAGACAGGCCTGAGGAAAGTCCTTGGTCAAAATCCAGCGCATTTGGTCCGAGTCGAGAAGGAAAGGGGAGAGGAAGGAAGAGGAGATATCTGAAGACATGACAAAGTCACTAGGCCACCAACATGAAAAGCCCAGTGAGTCCCTGGCAGGATAAACAGTCGTTCTAGAATTCTGACCCCAGAGGAGCCATCAAATGTTTAGACTGGCAACTCTACAAGGCTGTGGAGGTAGAAGGCACTCAGCCTGGATAGAGCCGAGCTGCAGGAGGAGGGACTACAGAGCAGGGGCAGTGGGGTGGGCGGTCCTGACACTGACCAGGAAACACAGGTGCATGGCGGGTTGAGAGGGGACTGGTTACAACTCAGGACACAGCACACTGTGGACCTCATACTTTCCCAGAGAGGGCAACACCGAGTTCTGTCCGAGTTTGGTTCAAAGATCCTGAAGGCTCCTGTCCAATCAACTGGACATTATACAGCTGCCAGACCCATGAGACAGACAAGTGTATGTGTACAGAAGGGTATCAGTGACAGTAGTGGGAAGCCAGTGACAGATCTATGTATGCAAAGATCCTCTGACTTGTGCGGTGAACACCTCCATGCACACAGCAAACTCTTCTGCTAGTTGGCCATAGTGGGGGAAAGAGGCCGTTCACATCCACTCAACCCGTGAGCCGTGTCTGTGATCTGTGCTGCAATGTGGGCACCTGCTTGCCCGGGGCCCACGGCAGGACATGCTTGGACACACAGGAACGCACCCGCTTAAGTGTGGTCGAATCCACCCAGACAAGCCAACCGTCCTCAGAGAAAACAAACCTGGCTGGGTCACACTGGCCCATTATGCTTCCAATTTTATTGTTCTCAATTTCCTGTCAGTGAACAGCAATGCTATCTCCCAGCCTCATCTGCTATTTAGTTAAAATTTAAAAGGAGAGAGGGGACATATGTGTGGAAACCAAATAATCTCAGTCACTAAAGATGGGCTCATAGAGGTTATTTAAAGCCGGAAACCCAGGAATTTATAGCTTGCTGTAATAAAGCCACTCCGGGTGAAAGGGCAGAGGCTGGCAATCCCCAGGTAGACAGCATCCAAAACATGCCACCCCTTGAGTCCCTGGTGTCTGTGTTGAGTGGTAAGAGGCCCCTAATGGTGGTAGGAATTGGCTAGGATTTCTCTGGATTTCTCAGAATTTCTCAGGGGCCCAAAGCCAGACTCTTAAGTGTCAAGGCCTGTCCTGCCTCTGAGCAAAGCACATTCTGGGCTGTTCCCTGGACATGCGGAGCCAGGACCAAAATAAGCAGGAGCACTGGGCCACTCAAAATTGGCACTCTTCAAACTCTACTCCCCAGAAGCCACTGACTGAGCACCCCTCTGGGGAGACAGCCACTGCTGCCAAGAGTCGGCTCACAGGGGCACGTGCTGAGTCACTCATCCCAGGAGAAGGCGATCACACTCAAAGAAGCCTTTTAGCCTACAAGTGATGAGGTTCTCTGGGCAGGGGAGAGGGTGGCAGAAGGGGTGCTCAGAAAGATAGGGGCGGGGTCTTCGCTCCCTACCTTCGCACCACAGCACTGGCCCTGGCTCTGTGGGCTCCATGAAGGACGCTTGCTAGAGCCCCCAAGCCTGCACCCACTTACCCCAAACTCCTTCCTTGTGAGCAAGCTGGCCTCCCTGGCAGGCTGGAGGCAGGCGCTCTCTGGGAACGCCATCCCCTCAGAAGTGCTCACCCCTCTCAGGCCAGCCCCATGACTGTCCGGCATGTGCTTCTATTACAGGTCCAACAGCTGCCCCCCAAATGGACTCCCACAATATGTCCTGGATTCGGTACCCAAGCCATGTGTCCCCAGCAGTGGAAGATGTCATTGCTGCACAAAGTGTCATCTCCAGGTGCATGCATGTGTATGTTGCTCTGCTTGTACCTCTGAGCTTGGTGACGGGGCTCTTCAACCTGATCACTTTCATTCGAAACCATGGCAAGCTGGTGGCCCTGGATATGCTGCTCTCAGGCCTCACGGTCACAAGTATCCTGGTGACACTGCTGTCACTCAATGCTGCCAGCAGGCCTGACTACATACTCACAACCAACCTGCACTGTGGGGTCCTCTCCTTCTTCTCCAATATGTGCTATTTCAATGCCCAGTACCTGCAGGTGGCCATGCTTGTCCTGTTTCTATTGCCGGGTTCCTCGAGCTACCTGCTCACAGGGGCCCAGGGCACCTGGAGGCCTCTGGCAGGCCTGGCTGCCATTTGGGGCTGCGCTGTCTGCAGCTCTCTGGTTGTGGTATCCCTGCTGGGTACATCCAGAGAGCTGCACCAAACCACCCTGTGCCAGGCGGACCCCCTGACGGCCTGGCCTGAGTATGAAATTGTTAAGTTCAGCCTGGGCTTTGGGCTTGCCCTCGTTCTCAAGCTGGTTCTCCTCCTCCTGCTCTCTGCTAAACCAGCCTGGCGGACAGCTCTCACCCGGAGGGACACCGCCTCTGCACGCTGGGTGGTACTGGCCATCACTCTGAACATGTTTGCCTGCCGACTCTTCTCCAGCACAGTGCTCCTCCAACGGGCCAGGCGGAAGATGCAGAGGGACATAGGCTCCCCGCGGGATGAGCTGCTCATGAACCTGGCAGAACTGGTCCTGTCTGGGGAGAGCTGTGTGAACTCCCTGTTTACCCTGGTCTTCCACAAGCCCTGCAAGCTCATGCTGCTGGACGCCCTAGGGCACCTCACACAGAGGTGCAGAAGAGGAGGCACCAACAACAGCGTCTCCTAGAACAGGACAGGGGCTGCCTGATCCTGCCTTCTGGCATGAGCCACAGGGAAAGCAGCAGAGCCTTCTTGGTGTTTAAAATACCCGTTTGCTGAAATAGGCCCTCCTGGGAAGAGCCAGTGGGGATGACACAAGTGTTGCGAGAGTGCTTACTAAAAATGAGCACTCTGGCATTCAACTCCATCTATGCAGAGGCACCATGGTTTCTTGACCCACGCCAACAATCACAACTCAAGGGACCCTGCACATCGAGGACACAGTGACGTGAGCGTGGAGACTGGCCACAGACGCATCTCCATCTGGCTGAAGTGCTCTGTGATGGGGACTAAGCAATGTTTGTCTACTGGTTGGCATCTTTTTTTTTTTTAATCTTTATTTTTATTTTTTTATGTGGTGCTGAGGATGGAACCCAGTGCCTCATGCATGCTAGGCGAGCACCTACCACTGAGCCACAACCCCAGCTGGTTGGCATCTTTCTCTACCCCAACCAAAAGACAAAATGGGAATCTTAAAAATAAAAGTATTTTTCAAATAACTTTACAGTCATATTATGATCTGGTCCGAATCATTGCTGTGGTCAGCTTTCAACACTGCCAGGAAGTCTGAGCAACAGAAATCTTGCCAAGAACAAAAAAGGTTAGTTTTAAAACTGCCATCACCACGGAAGCTCTGGGAGTATCCCCTCAAGCTGAAACACCAGGACAACTGCTTTACATCATGATGTTGAGCTGTCCTGCTCCTTGGAACCTAAGGGCTGCCTAGGTCCAGCGGGTCTGGTAGGCCAGGGGAGAGTCCCAAGGGTTCCACCTGCTATCTGCACAGGGACTGGTAACCCACAAAATACAGAAACACAAGGCAGAGATGTTTGTCTTACTTCAGGTTGACATCCTTCATTCTTGCTGGAATTCTCTCTGGTTTTATGAAATCTATACCTTTGATTTTAATGAATAATTTAATGTTAGTCTGTGAACCAAAGAACAAAAGCGGGTCTGTGGGGTTTTTTCTCAGTGTTTACATATCTGCATGATTTCTTTAGAAGAAAAAGGATTTGTATCTTATGCAGCTGAGTAGCTTCTGGGACACAATATTAAAATTTCTCAGTGCTTAAGTCTTGCCTTCTATTTCTCCTCCTTTGTTCCCTTGTTTATACTCCTGATACCCTTAATGTGGCCTGGGTACCAGAGTGAGGTCAGCTTGCAGCCTGTTCACGGGGGTTACAAGCAAAACTGGAAGCAGGAGGGAAGAGCATTCTTTCCCACCTGGGACGAAGAGGCAAGGAGAAAGGACCAGAGCTCAATGTACTCTTCCCATAGTCCACTCCCTCCCTCCCCGCAGTACTGGGGATGGAACCCAGGAGCACTCTACCACTGAACCACATCCTCATTTTTTAGTTTGAGACAGGGTCTTACCAAGTTGGTGAGGCTGGCCTCCAACTTGTGATCCACCTGCCTCAGCCTCCCAAGTTACTGGGATTATAGGCATGTGCCACCATGCCTGGCTCTTTGTTTATTTGACGCTGGACACTGAGTTCTCCTTGTTGAATGTTTGAATCTTGTCTTTCTCTAAATAGTGCTGAAGTTTATTTTGGTACGCAGTTTATTACTGGCAGATGATCACGATTCTTTTGAGAGTTATTTCCTAGTTTTGTCAACCAGGACCACGGGAGTCTTCAGTGCAAATTTAGCCTGAAAGCTAAGGTGTGCCCTCTTTGGGTCTCTACTGCTATGTTTAAGTGTGTCCCTGAGGGTGCATGTGTTGGAGACTCGGTCCTCAGTGTAGGATACTGGGGGGTGGGACCTTTGAGGGTTGGAAAGTTATCTCAGCCCCTTACTGGTCTCTCTGGCTTCCTGACTTGCCATGTGATCTCCCCTCCCTTGCACACACTCCCACCATGATGCCATCCATTGTGATGTGACTGGTTGAGGGGAATCACCAGAGGCTTAGTCAATGGTGGGGTCTGACTTTGGAATTTCAGCCTCCAAAACTGAGCTAAATTAATCTCTTTTCTTCATAAAGTACTCAACCTCAGGTGTTTCATTATAGTAATGGAAAATGGACTAGCACATAAATGGCCCTGTACTCTGGCTAGAGAAAATGAGAATATCAATCATCCCTCTGGAAGCTCTGGAGTTCTCTGGCTTGTTGCAGCTTCAGCTGTTAGACTGGCCTTCAGCATCTACTCTATGTACACACGACTCAGCCATAGATTCCAGCAGACTGCATTCAGATTTGGGGGACCTTCTCTCCATGAGACACCCTCCTCTTCCAGTACTGTATCCTGCAATTCCTGCTCCATCAGCCTCCAGAAACTTAGTCTCTGTCCCCTCAACTTAGCCAGTTCATCCTGCTCTGCTTGGATCCTCAACCTGTGTCCCTGACCACAGGCTGCCTCAGATAGGAAGCTGGATAAGCATGGAGCCTGGCCTGGCCGGGGTCTAAGCTGCACTGCCTGCTGTCCCATGTCTGAAAAAGGCTGCTTCTATAATTTACCCAGTTGACAGTGGCTCATGTCAGGTTCCTTCACCTTACTCGTGATCAGAGTAGAAACTCTTAAGGTAATTTACAAATAAATGTCCTGCAAGAATAGATGGCAACGGCTTGTTGGTTTAGAACCAGTTGAAATAATTAAAAGCTCCCATGTGCTCAAGTGTCCTGGAGAAATAGCTGATCCCAGGAATAAGGCAGGAGAGACACAGGACAAGCCCGGAACTCCCAGCAACACCAACTTCCTAAGCATTTCAGCCAAGGGAGTGATTTTAGAAACCCAACTGCAAAAATGTACATTGGTGGTTCTCAAACAGTAGAATCCTACTCTTTAAAAACAAAAAAAAGAAAGAAAAAGAAAAAGAAACCCCTTATAAGGGGGCCAAACTTTGAAACATTTAAAGAGGTTCTGCTTTGATGGAGGGGCAGGGGGCCCAAGGGTAGAAGCAGCAAGGGACCCTGGACCACACCAAGGGCCTATCCACAGGGAACCACAGGACCCAAGGACCTAGGTAGGCCCTAGAGAGACAGGTTGGTCTGCTGGGACTCTGGCCTTCTGCCACAGCACTGGGCTACTTGCCCCTCATCCCATAACTGTCTGGACATATTCTGAGAACAAAGAGCTTTCCATATCCAAGGCCAAGACAAAGACCTAGAGCCAACAGAAAATCAAGAAAGCATCTCAGAGTGTGATTCTAGCAGTGAAGGTACACTCTCATCCAAAGCAAGACGCATGAAATCTTGATTGCATAGTAGAAAATCATGGGTTTGGGGAGAAGCTGCTGTGGCACCTGGGCTTCTCGGGGCTCTCCCCCTCATCCCATAACTGTCTGGACATATTCTGAGAACAAAGAGCTTTCCATATCCAAGGCCAAGACAAAGACCTAGAGCCAACAGAAAATCAAGAAAGCATCTCAGAGTGTGATTCTAGCAGTGAAGGTACACTCTCATCCAAAGCAAGACGCATGAAATCTTGATTGCATAGTAGAAAATCATGGGTTTGGGGAGAAGCTGCTGTGGCACCTGGGCTTCTCGGGGCTCTCTGAAAAACACAGCTGAGTGGTTGCAGGAGGTGGAGGTGGAATAAGTACCCAGCTCACCACCCACTCTTTCTAGAATCTGCCCCATAAGCATGCTCCCTGCAGGTTGACAGCACTCTCGCAGTAGGACACAGGGGACGTCAACTGTCTGCACTTCTGTGACAGAAGTGCATGTCTTCTACATGCAGTCCTGGTTGCCATAACTCTCAAAGAATTAGAGGAAATGCCCAGAACACTCCCAGTAGCCATGCAGAGGAGCACAGCTGTCCAGAACGCCGGCACTGTGTCGCCGTCTGGACTGGCCCCTACTCCAGGGCTGAGGGCAGATGGCGTGTGCAGGGCTTGAGCCATGACAACTCTGAGCACTGTAAATCCTGTCTCAAGCTGGGAAAGGCTGAAAGATAGACTGCCACTCTTGACTTTCTCTAGGAAACAGCCTTATGGTAAAAACAGTGTCTGTGCCACAGCGTGCATCCAGGATCTCACAGCCACATACACCAAACTGGGCCAGGACCAGGGCACCAAGACTGTCTAGGGGAAGGCACACCCCCGAGCCTGTCTCAGTTTCTAGATTCAACAGACCATGCCACAGGACATTGACCTGGGTGATTCTGAAGAAAGGAGGGTAATTTAAGGGTTTACGATGCCTCTTGCCAACACCGTCTTCCTGGGATGAGGATGAGGCAGGATGTCGTGGGCAGTCTGAATTTCCTGATAGGGAGTAAATGGCACAGGGTGCCGAAAACTGAACTAGGAGAGCCTACATCCTGTCTGCCACTCACTAAATCATGGCCTATGTAAACCCTTGACTGGTAAATGGGGGCCACTAGCACTGGTTCACTGCTTCCGAATGTCATGAGTATTAAACTTCAGAAGTACTTGTGTCCCCCTGAGGTGGGAAGAGTCATCAGTACCCTGCAAGGGTCTTCCTGCTGCTGCCCCTGTTTGGGTCCTTAGAGAAAATGCAGGGATATTCTTCATGAGGTATCTACCTAGCAGGAATGGAAACACCCTGGGGTGAATTTCTCTGAGCTCTGTGCTGTTTTCCAGCATGGATTAAAATTCCTCATTCAAGTGGCTTGATGTCTCAGCAGGAAACAGATTCAAGCAAGCAAACCCACAGACCTTTCTGAATAAGGTGCTATCTCCCCAGTTAGTGCTCAAAGTAGAAAAGCTGAGCCAGGCTCAGTGGCAAAGGCCTGTAATCCCAGCAATTCAGGAGGATGAAGCAGGAGGATTGCAAATTCAAGGCCAACCTGGTCCATTTAGGGAGATCCTGTCTTAAAATATAATCAAAAGCTCTGAGGACATAATTCAGTGGTAGAAAGCTTGCCGAACATGCAGGGGGCCCTGGGCTGTGTCCCCGCACTGCACAACAGAACAAAAAGAATAGCAAAGCAATCTTGGGAGGATTCATCTCAGTCAAATGACTCCCCACACCTGGGGTTCTGTTTGTGTGTTTTACAGGACTGGAGACTGAACCTAGGGGCACTCTGCTGCTAAACTACATCCCCAGCCCTTTTTTATTTTATTTAGAGACAGGGTGTAAGTTTCCTAGGCACGTCTTAAATTTGTGATCCCCCCATCTCAGCCTCTCACAGGCATGGCCACTGTGCCTGGGGCACACCTGGGTTCCTAATGAGGTCACTGTCTCTGAAAGATAGCGGCTGGGAAGGCTGGGAGGGCTGGGAGATGAATAACTGCTGAGGGTGTTTTGGAGAGGCACTCAGCTCCATAAATAACCCCACACGCCCCCACCTTATGAATGACCCCTGAGGCTTAGGTCACCCAGCAGCCTAGCACCACAAAGGCCCAAGCACTGCCAGAGAGGAGAACCAAGAGTGGGGGGCCGGCAACGCTGAACGTGGGCTTGCTCGGACTGTGCCACTAAGTCTTGCCCAAGGGATATCCATTGTCATAGGAAGGAGCAGGACCCTGGTTACCACGAAGTGTCCAGACTATTCCACACCTGCTCCCTGTCCAGGCTCCTATGAGGGCTTCTGAAGTGAGAAACTATCTTATTTGACTGGCGTTTGTTCTCTATGCATTAGCCAGTATTAGCTGCTCCCAAATTTAACTAGATGCCATCTGACCTTATTGGATTCCCTGTTAAGTTCCCTCCATTCACACTATCCTATCCCAGATGAACAGAAACTGAAAAACCCACAAGAACGTCAACTCCACAAGGCAAGAAGGAGGCGGACATGGCACACTGGCCTGTCCTCCCTGCGAGGCCACTCACACTGCTTCTCTGAGCTCTATCCATCAGTAAATGGAGGCCAGAGCCAGCCCCAGATACAAAGGAGGGCTCCCTAGACAGCACACGCAGAGCACCATGTGCAGACAGCACCAGGAAGCCTCATCTAATGTCAGACTTAAAAATGACAGCAGCTCTTCAGACTTTCCAGAAACTTCCACAGCTCCCACCCACCCCTCTCCATGCAAATGTCAAGTAGGAGCCCTGGGACTGAAATGCCTGCCCTCTGGGCCCTGTCCCTGAACTAGTTAATTGGGTGACTGTGCCTGTACTTTAATGGAGAGGCTGGGCTTCAAGCAAGATGGCTACGTCACAATTCAGCTGCCCATTCTCCACCTCAAGCATGAGCTCAGAGTCAGGCCCTTGACCACCTGCAGCAAACCCACCAGGACTTGCAAAGTGGCAGCCTCAGGACTACAAGGAGCCAGAAGCCTCTTACAACTCCAGCAAGTGGCCAAGCCCTGAGCCCTGAGCCATGGGTTTGCAAGAGCAGGGAGTGGCTATTTTTAAGTGGCATGCCTCGGCTATTTCGAGGTTTAGGTTTTATTTTATTTATTTAATTCAAGAGGAAGCTGCACTTTCTCATGACTTGTTTCTTTCAAAATGGTGTCGTGGGCATTCTTAATGTTGAAATCATCTTGACTTTGCAGCTGGTCAAAAGATGGAGAGCCAATCAGCTCTTTATTTTATCATGCCATTCAAATTTTTAAAAGTTAACATATTAAGAGTCCGAATTTCTACAGTTCTTCACCAGAGGATTAGTATTTTTCCACAAAAATTTTAAGACGGTCCTCTGTTTTAAAATATGCATACATTTCCCAAGATATCTGTAAGATTTTAAGTCAGCATCATACGGAACACCTTGAAGTGCATTTTCAACAGGCTCTATAGAGAAGAGAAAGCTCACGGGGCAGCAAGTGGCCGGGCCCACATTCACGGAGGTGCATGGCACTGTCAGGGTCCCACCTGCAAGGGTGCCTGCCTCTCCAAGCCTGTGGCAGCACTGAGGGAGGAGGATGCGCTGGCTCCCACTTACCCTCAACCACAGCCACCTTGTTGTTCAGTGCATAAAAGGTCACTCAGTGTTCAAGTTCACAGCTCCAAAAAAAATCAAAAGATAAAAAGACACTAAGAAGGAAGCATAAATAAGATCACCTAAAATGTAATTTATGAGCCAGGGCAGCTCAGGCCTGTGGTACCCAAGAGCCTTGGACAGTGCCTGGTACTGGTCTCTGCTCTGGAGCTGCATGGCCAATCTTCCTCCAAAATTGAGGACAAACTCCAACAATAGGAGGTGGGAAGTCAGAGATGGCAGCCAGATACACAGCCATTCGGTCACTAGGACTTTGGGAGCGGGAGTGATGGTAGGGAAGACCTGATCAGGCATCCATGCCCCAGACGGCTCCCAAGCAGCAGAGGAGAGAAGGGTGGTCAATGATTAGAGCAGAAAGCCACCTGTTTTACCGATTTCTTACCAAATACCTGCTACTTCTTGTGTTTAAATTTCTTCCCACAAATGTCTTGGTGAAGTCATAAATTCTCTATGTATTATTCACATGCTTATTACTATGTTAACTTTTGAAATTCAGTGTTTAGTTTTAAAGCCAGTAAGCTGCTAAAAGAAGAAAGAATACTGTTGCTTGTTTCAACAAATGATCATAATATCTATTATAATCCCTTCAAACTAAAAAAAAAAGAGAGAGAGAAAGAAAAAAAGGTGTCACTGGGTGAAGAAAACCAGTCACACTGGAAACTTCCATAAAACCATGCTTAGTGGGGCTGTGTTCATTGTTAGAGTGTGGGGGAAAAAGGCCAGCAAAAAAAGGGTTAATGCTGGCCTTCAAGGGAGCGGCCAGAGCCCAGTGAGCAGCCCTGGGAAGCCTATAAAGCCGGCCCAGTGCCAAGGGGACCAGACTGCGCCTCAGACAGCCACAGGAGCTGGTTCAAGAGCTTCCTGGGGAACCTTCCCGCCAGGCCTCCCTGGAGGGGTCTTCTCTTTTTCTCTCCCACTGATTCCTTGCAAGTCCAGGATCCTACTACTGCAGGCAAGTACCAAGTGTGCCTCCAGCAAACCCCCGAGGGGTGCAAGAGAACCCAAGCAGCTCAGGTAAGACTTGCACCCCCGCCTGTGGGTTTTGGGGTCTGGGTGGTACTGCACACTAGCTGCTAGGGTCAAACGAGGTCACAGTCCTGTGAGGGGACAGCAGGAGGCATGTCCATACCACTGTACCTTCCAAGGAGTAGCACCAGCTTCCACCCTCCAGAGGAGACACCTGGGCGTGACCATACGCAGCGAGCCCTGGGTCCAAGCCAGATGTGCCTTGTTTCGAGGCTCTCCTGGTAACTTGGTACTATGGTCACTACTGTCAACTCAGAAAGTCATGGTGGGCCGATGCCCCCATGTAAAGATAAGGGTAACAGAGCTGAAGAAGTGTAGTGTCGTTTTCCCAGATCTGGACAAGCAGGAAAAACTTGAAACAAAACGATACAGAACTATTTAGCACCCACTTTTAGATTTTCAGTTCATAGCCAACTTTAATAAGGATGCTGTAAATTTCATAGCAAGTTCCTGTATCTTCTCTGTAGACCATTATACAATAGCAGCGTTGGTCAAGGATGAAAGACTCCATTTACATGGAAAAGAAACAAAGGGCTTACTTTAACCTGTTCCCTAGAGTTTACTCAATAGTGTAGGGAAGAGAAGGCATCTATGTCAAGGTTCTGCTCACCTTTAAACTGCCCTCTCCAACTGCAGTCTGATACCTGCCAGAATTTCCACATTCAAAGAACAGAACTAGTGCCCTGGGCAGTTTTTAAAAAGAAATTAAATCCAGAGGCTTTCAATATTACAGATGGAATCTCAGAACAGTGACATTTACACTGCTCAAATTGGTACTACTTATTAAAGATGAATAAAGAATGTAAAATAACCAATACAAGCAATCCATCAACCCCCGCTCGGCAACGGTTATTGAACACCCTCAGAATCATATCTGCGCCAAGGCAGAGATCTGTTCTTCCTTATTTTCCTTTTTTCTTAGCAGTATTTTCACAAGATAGGTCAGTAAATCTCTAGTCTGGTCTTGCAACACTTCAAAATGATGCCCAATGACCTCAAAGAATGAAACAAAACTCCAAAAGAAAAACAACCCAAACCATCTTCCTGAGGCAGGTCAGTTGACTCCAGGCTTCTCGCCCTCAGACACTGACGCTCAGGCCGGAAATCTTTTGCTGGGGAGGGGGCTGTCCTGTGCACTGTTGGATGCTCAGCAGCATCCCTGGCCTCCAACAGCTAGATGCTCCCCCGCCCCAGCTGGGACACCTCCACATTTCCAGGCGTCTCCAGACGTTGCCAATGTGCCAGCTGAAAACCCTGGTTGCTCCAGAGAACTTCAGGGGCACAGGAGTCAAGTAAGCCACAGGAAACCCTGTGGCACCTCCACGTCCCCGTCTTTACCCAGTTTCTATGCTAAAACAGCATTACAAAAATAAACTGGGCTTTACATAATTGGTTAAATAACATTTTACAAATAACTGAATAACATTTTCATCCTTCCTCCTTCCCTCCCTCCCTCCCTGGGGACAGGGTGTCCTGTGTCACAGTCTGGCCTCAAACTCCTGGGCTCAAGCGATTCTCCTTCCTCAGTCTGAGTAGCTGGGACTACACCCAGCTAACATTATTTCTTAAACAATGACCATTTTTATTCCTTATTCTCTTTCATTCTATATTACAGAAAATAGTTTCATTTCTGGCACTCAAGTTAGTAGTAGCATTACAAAAAAAAAAAAAAAGCTGGATTTCTTTTGCCTATTTTATTGCAAGAGAAAAGACTTTGCTCAGATTCCACTAGGTTTTCTGGGTCCATTACCTTTCAGAGGGAAAAAAGAAAAAGAAAAAAAAAAAGCTGGGTTTTTCCCTTCCCATGTTATTTCTCCTTCCAACAGCTGCTGAAATGAATTTTATTTCCTGTCCCAACAAACGGTAGTTTTCCTAAGATTCCCATACTCAGTACCCACACTACTTCATGAGCCTGCTATCTGCCTGTGACCCACTCACTGCATCTGGGGATGACTCATGGCCCGTCTCCAATTTAAACCAGGCAAGCATGGGAACCCCTGGGGAAGAGACAGGACGTTTTCCACATTTATTTCTTCTCCTTCAGCTCAGGGACAACCATCTCCCCAAGACAACGAAACCTAGAGTTCTGGCCTCTCTCTACTGCTCTGTGACCTACGACACCTCAGCTCTGTCCTGTCCTGTATGCCTCTCCTTGGTGTCCAGATGGTAAGTGTGTACAGCGTCTTCCAGCCATGAGCCAGCTCCGCCGACCAGAGTGCCAAGCGCCCCACTAGCCACGAGCCGGCTTCTGCTGCAGACCAACTGCACCTGTGCATTCAACTTTCTACAGCTGTCAAACCCAAATGTCCATCTCTCTGCAGAGAGAATCATCTCTCTCTCTAAAGATGGAGCCACCGCTGCAAACTGATTTCTGTGACCCTTCTGGCAAATGCTGAAGACAGCACAGTGGCAACATGGATGTGACCTCTCCAGCCCACACTTTTGGCATGGAGATTTACCCACGTACCACACAGCTGGCAGACTCCAACAGCACCTCCCCAGAACTCAACCTGTCTCTTCCGCTACAAGGCACTGCCCTGGTGAACCAGACGGGGGACCTCTCTGAGCACCAGCAGTATGTCATTGGCCTCTTTCTCTCCTGTCTTTACACCATCTTCCTGTTTCCCATTGGTTTTGTGGGGAACATTCTGATCCTGGTGGTGAACATCAGTTTCCGTGAGAAGATGACGATCCCCGACCTGTACTTCATCAACCTCGCGGCCGCAGACCTCATCCTGGTGGCCGACTCTCTGATCGAGGTATTCAACCTGGACGAGCAGTACTATGACATTGCCGTGCTCTGCACCTTCATGTCTCTCTTCCTGCAGATCAACATGTACAGCAGTGTCTTCTTCCTCACCTGGATGAGCTTTGACAGGTACATCGCACTGGCAAAAGCCATGCGCTCCAGTCTCTTCCGAACGAAGCACCATGCCAGGCTGAGCTGCGGTCTCATCTGGATGGCCTCCGTCTCGGCCACCCTGGTGCCCTTCACGGCAGTCCACCTGCAGCACACGGAGGAGGTCTGCTTCTGCTTTGCGGACGTCAGGGAGGTGCAGTGGCTGGAGGTCACCCTGGGGTTCATCATTCCCTTCGCCATCATCGGGCTCTGCTACTCCCTCATCGTCCGTGTCCTTATCAAAGCCCACAAGCACCGAGGCCTGCGCCCCCGGAGGCAGAAAGCGCTCCGCATGATCTTCGCCGTGGTCCTGGTCTTCTTCATCTGCTGGCTGCCAGAAAACGTCTTCATCAGCGTCCACCTCCTGCAGCGCACCCAGCCGGGGGCTGCTCCCTGCAAACAGTCCTTCCGCCATGCCTACCCCCTGACCGGCCACATTGTCAACCTCGCAGCTTTCTCCAACAGCTGTCTGAACCCCCTCATCTACAGTTTCCTCGGGGAGACCTTCAGGGACAAACTGAGGCTGTACGTGGAGCAGAAGACAAACCTGCCAGCTCTGAACCGCTTCTGCCACGCCGCCTTGAAGGCAGTCATTCCGGACAGCACTGAGCAGTCGGATGTCAAGTTCAGCAGTGCTGTGTGACAGGCCTCCCCGGCAGGGACCCAGCTGTGGCACTAGTCACAAGGACTGTACACACCCAGGGCAAGGTGGGCCGGAGGCACAGGTCAGTGCCTCACGAGGGTCGCCCCGTCTGGGTTGCTGGGGAACCTCGCTCCAGCCCTTCCTGATTTCATCCTGCTCACAGACTTGCACCCATCCCAGTGCTCACGACCATAGGTCATGTGACCCTGACCTCCAAGGACACCAGAACCAGCTTATCACTCAGCTCTCTCTACTGTACTATTTCCCCAGTGGAAAGTGATTCTGCCATTGACCAAAAGCCAAAAGGCGGGAGGCCTTCTGGGTGAAGCATCTTAGTTACAGATAAATCCACAGCACACCTGAAACCCAGGGGGAAAAGGAAGTCTGGAGACAGAATCTGCTCAACAGACCTAAACTGGATCTGATGTCTGAGATATGCAACTCACTGTGCACATGCAAACTAGTCCACCCTGAGTCAAAGGGGAAAAGAAAAAAGTGTCCTGTACACACCTGAGCATCCTTCATCTCTAGGAATGCTGCACTCATGCCTGCCCCCGGCTCCCGCTCCTAACACCCGAGAGACCTGCATGGAGCTAGAAAGGGTCTCATTTAATGAAATACCTGCTCGGAGATGTGTTTAGACATGCATTTGTTTACAACAGACTTGCAATTATGTGAATGTGGGATGAGACCACGAGAACTGCGTGCAGTTAATGGGATACACGGAGAAATACTCTGGCGTGTATGGTTGAAAAATCTGTCTCTACAAAATAATAGTGAGAACAAAGATGATGGCAACTTTAGCAGTTCCCAATAAAATATATTTAAAAACAAATCTAACTATTGCTGATAATGTTCAGTGTATGTCAATAAAATATTATGCGTTGATTCTCTGAAATGCTCTAAGCAGTTCTCAAAGTAGTGTGAGACAGGGCTGGGGGAGGGGGCTCTCAGAAAGAGCCACAGCCCACGGTTTTGCAAACTCAGGTCCCACCTGAAGAGCTCTCCCGTAAGGCCAACGTCCAGACCCTGCCAGCTGGACACCTCCTGGCCTTCTCGGGATGTCCAGATGCTGCAGTCTGACATGCACGCTGCATCGTCTCCAGGCACCAAGTGCATCTTATTACCAACACAGAAGGCAGAGCTCAGCCTTGTCTAGGCATCTGCATAAGCAGACTTGTCCAGTGTCGAGAAGGCTCTCGGCTGTGAGATGCACCCCGGGTTGGCAGGCATTCAGAGCACTCGAGGGGCCAACTGGGAGGACTCCCTGTCCTGTTCTGTCACCAGATAAAGCTGTGCCAGGTTCTCCTCCATTCTCTGCCCACATCCAGAGGCCCCTCAGGAGCTCAGGCCTCCCAAAGAACACAAGGTAATATGGTTAACAAAGAAAAAGACCACTTTGTCTCAATAATTTGCATGTCAGTACCATTTAAACTATGGTACTACTTTTTATTTCTGATAACATATATTTAAGGTAAAAGGTGACCCAGTTAAAAAAAAAAAAATCACACAGAGCACCCAAGAGAACTCCCCTTGGCACACTGTGGGACACAATCTGTGCATGGATGGGTGCGGCAGGCCTGGCTCCAACAGCCTGCAGGGCCTAGATTCTCTGTGCTCGTCACCAGGAAGCAACACTCCTCCAAAGAGGAGACTATTTGTCCCAGACTGAGACCCCAAACAGTGGCATCTCCAGCACTCCAAATCCCACATGAGCAGGACACAGCAGACCTCTTCCAGGACTGTCCCCACAAATCAAGGGGTCTAGCAATAGGCAGACAACCTCTACAGGAGGCCAAGCCGTCCCTCGAGCTGGCACCTGCAGAGGGTGCAAACACCACAAGTGAGGTCCCTGTGCTAGAGGAACAAGGTCCCGAGACGTTTTCATACCCCATGTTTTGAGCCCACATGGCGCTCCTCCAAGGCACACAGGGCACCACTAACAGTGGTGCCTAAGAACCAGCACTGCAAACTCTTGACAGGATGTTGCTTTTATAAGGCGAGTGTGTGATCTGAGTTCCCCAGCTCTACTCAGTGTTGGTAACAATCCAAACCCAATCCAGACTACAAGAAGGAGACAGCGCTGGTGCCTACCACTGAGCAAGGCACCACAGCCATTCACCCCTTATCCCAGCTTGAAAATTGGTGCACAGAAGCCCCAAACACAGTCACAGAGACCCAACACTCACTCTTAGCTCTGATGGGTGGGGTGGGAAGACTCAAGGAATAAGAGTGAGAATCTATGACCCTCAAATCCTTAGACAGGAAATGGTGCAGCCAGGAACCGAACCTCAGTCTCTCCAAAGCCATGATCCTTTCTCTGCAGCAAGCGGCAACCCTGATGCTAAAAGCAAAAGTACTCAGTGTGGCAAGTGCAGAGCCGGAGAGCCCTGGGCACCCTGGCGTCACCTAAGGCTGAGCCCTCTCCTTTGCAGCTTCATCTCCAGCAAGTTCAGGGAAGGCAGGAGGGAGAGCTCCCGGGGGGACTCTAAATAGACTCCTGATGACCAGGTCTCCTCAAGCAGGTCTGCTATGGGCAAGGGCCACATGAGGCTATAGCGCAGCTCCTGTGCCAACACTCGAAGCACACTTCCCCAGCTGAGAAACTGGCAGAACTGCTGAGAGTCAGTGGGATGGATAGCTACAAGGGTGAGCACAAGGCAGAGGGCTTCCCTAATGAAATGGGACCCTCCAGAGCCAGAGGCTGGGCCTGGTGCCCCTGAAGTCTCCTCTGCGTCTGTGTGATGGGCAGAGCAGAGGTCAGAAGCCCCGCAGGGTTCTGCACACCCCGCCCAGCCCTTCTCAAGTCATCTGTCTGAGAGCTGAGGCTAACTTGATTATTTGGGGCAGGAACACCACAAGATAAAATCAAGGCGTTTTAATCGCTTTGTTGCTTCCTGGTAACCCAACTCTCCCGCACAATAATGTAGTTTAAACCCTGGGACGGGCTGGAGAGTCCACAGCTGTAAGCACGTGGAAAACACCTGATGAGCACTGACCAGGAGTCCATCACTTTCTTTGTGTGCAACAATTAACTCTTGACCATGACCTTGTCCTTCCCAGCTCCCAGGCCTGGTGAGAAATGGTGGCATGCCATCTATTACACCTCCCTGGCACACCTTCAGTCCTGGAGGAAGGGTGGGGAGGAGGGCTGAGGGATCCTCTCAATAGGCTCTTCTCTGCATCGTGGCACACAGCGTGGAGCTGCTTTGTGAGTGAGCACAAGGGGAAATGTGCTGATGCTCCTGAAGACAGAGTTCTCGCAGGACAAGGGAGGCAGAAGCACACAGGAAGCAGAGGGGGACTCAAGAACCCCATGGGAATGCAGCAAAGCAGGTGGATCTCCATTTGTGAGACTCTCCAGGTGCGAGAATGTAAAAATCATAACCAGAGGACATAGGAGATGGCCCAAAGGATTCCCACTGGCCAAATCCGGAAAAATCTGAGCTAGGAGGATTAAGAAGACTTAATAAAAGTTGAGCACAGTGGTGCATGCCTGTAATCCCAGCGACTTGGGAGGCTAAGACAGAAGGGTTATGAGTTCAAAGCCAGCCTCAGCAACTTAGCAAGGCCCTAAGAAACTCAGCAAGTCCTTGTCTCTAAAAAAAATATAAAAAAGGGTTGTGGCTGTGGCTCAGTGGTGAAGCATCCCTAGGTTCAATCTCCAGTACCCCCCAAAAAAGTTAATAATAATTAGAAACTACTAAAAAGAATCCTGAGCCCATTCTAATAATAAACAGGCAAACAAACATAATTTAAATAAGCAACATATAAAAAGATAATAATAAATAGAGTTTGTGAAAAATGTGGGAATTTTTGGTTATGGAAAAAAAATGGCCTATAATTGAGGAGGGACTGCTGGGGGGTAGGGGCAGAGGAGGGGCCGGGGGATGGACTCCTCCCTTTGCAGCTTTTACTGTGAGACTGGAACAGGCCAAGAACCCCCAAAGGAGGCACTCCAGGAGCAGTGGGGTATTTGCAGAGCTCCCACAGACTGCTCATTAAAGCAAGGGAAAGTCACTACACAGCAGAGATGGGACAGCCCTTCACGGAGTGGTAACATGAACATCACCAAGAGGAAAAAGCCCAGCTGGGACACCCTGAGAAGGACAAAATGTCTCTAATGTCCTAATCTAAGGGTACATACTGAGTCTAATCAGGAGTAAATACTAGAAAAACCCAAAATGATGAAAAGAAGCCAATTCACAAAAAATGAAAATGTCATAAGAGATAAGCTTGGAGGGGCTGGGACTGTGGCTCTGCGGTAGAACGCTCACCTGGCATGGGTGGGCCCCTGGGTTCAATCCTCAGCGCCACATAAAAAAAATGAATGGAATAAAGGTATGGTGTCCAACAAAAAATAAATATTAAAAAAAGAGATAAGCGTGAACAATTCTTCTAAAGTCAGGAGAAGAGAGAGGGGACAATTACACTCGATGAAGACTCTAGATGAGATGATCCACCACAAGGAGGGGAAAGCATTCTGGGGATATCACGGGGTCAGGGGACAAAATAATGCGGGCAAACCTAGAAAACCTACTGCGAAAGAAGCCAGACACAGAAGCCCACATTTGTGTAATTCCTCTTATACGAAGTATCCAGAGTGGGCAAATCCAGGGGCAGGAAGGGGCTGCCAGGGCCACAGAGGGGAAAGGAGATTGCAAGGGAGCCCAGAGCTGCCCCTGAGGACGGAGAAGGTGCTCCAACACGGCTGTGGAGGTGGATGTCCATTTTAGCTGTGACCCTTTAGAGGGTGAGTTCATGGCGTGAAGGTATGTCCCAAAAGTCAATGTTCCCTAATTGCTTCTCATTCTCATTCTCATTCATACCCCACACAGGGAGATGCCCAGCACCCCTCTGGAGTCCCAGGAGCTGCCTGCTAGCATTTACTGTAAAACTCCTAGTTTTCTCTCCTCACTTACTGCTAGTGATTCAAGCTTTATGTTCTTTTCCACAGTGGCAAGCTGGGGTCTATTTTGATAATTAAAAATAGAGAAAAAGAACTTTGGTAAAATTTAAAGCTGAATGTAATGTAGTTAATCATTCTCCAGAATCTCAGACAATGGCTATGCACAGTTCTCCCTCCTGCTGGGCACTGTCCTAGGGGACCTGCACAGACTGGCCCCGCAGCCTCCGTAGGTGCACACTTCAGGAGTGACCAAGGACAGAAAGGAGTCAACAATATCATTTCAATTACTTAGACACTTTCACCAGTGATGTGCTCAGAAATCTAAAAACAAGGCTTTAGATTTTAGCACTGCCACCCTGTAGATCACAGTTGTGACCAGCATCCCTGGGAACAGTAAAGACCCAAGGCGAACAGACACATGGACACACACAAGTGCTTACTCCCTGGTCAGATCACAGAAGAAACTGGGACCTTGGGGGTTTCCGGCTCCATCTTCCTGCAAATGATCAACAGAGGCTTGGGGAAGTTCCGCCTGTTACAGATTTAATGCGCTTTGCCTTCCGGACTATTGGGAGGGTGGGGGAGCCAGCGAGTCCGCCTTGCAGGGGAACTAAGGGAGGGGAGAGAGAGGGAGGGAGAGGGTCATCAAGAACAGCCATTATGTCCCAGGACGCTCACTCTCCACAGTGTCCTCAGACTCCTGGGTTCTACTTGGAGTTGTCACAGAAAAATATGTTTTCCAAGTTCGTCTCCCTCATAGGCAAAGACCATGGCCCCTAAAAGGAAAGCTGCCAGCCTACAATCAATCAGCAAGTCCTCCAGGAATGAGCTCTGGGCAGAAGGCTAGGTAGCACACAGAAGTGAGGGCAAAGGTCCCAGCACAGCTGGATGGGCCCCGGGCCCAGTGGGTTCTAGGCAGGCCCCTC